CGGGATGGTCTCACCAAGGAGAGGATGTTAGAGGTGACTCCCGAATGTGAAGAAGGAGCCAGTGGTGCAGAGATCTGGGGAAGGGCGTTCCAGCCAGAGGAAGTAGCTAGTGCACAGGCCCTATGGCACAAGTGAGCTTGTGTGTCCACTGGAAGGGAGGCCAATTTGGCTGAAGAGAAACGAGGGAGACTTGAGCAGAAGGGACAAAGAGATGGGGACAGGCAAGGAAGGTCCAGTGGGATCTCGTCAGCAGCCCTTGGGTTTTATTCTTAGGGTGACAGGAAGCCATTGAGGGTCAGACTCTGACCTGGGCTAGTGGGTTCTGCAGTGCCATTGACGTGGTTTGAGCAGGAAAGGAGGATGATCTGACATGTATTTAAAAAGCTCTCTGCAAAAAAATAAATTAAAGCTCTATGCAGCTGCTGTGTAGGAAATAGAGGGACAAAAGTTGAAACCAGGGGACCCCCTGGCAGCAGGTCCATCAGATGCCCGGGTACCGCATACCCAGAGCTGAGGCCGCAGCACAGCGGGCCGTGGGTGCTGGACTTGGGTGGGCTTGTCAGCAAACAGCTTGCTTGGCAGGTCTGAGCTGAGAGCTGGCTCTTGTGGCTTCCAGCCCTGAAAGGCGAGTGCAGGGAGCTTTGCTCGAGGGGCCAGCTCCTACACTAGCAGCCTTAGTTTTTCCTAGACAGCCTGGTTTCTCTGGAGACCACCTTTCTTGCCCTCACAAACACTCGAGGCTGACCGTGCCAAACAGCAGGGCTGTCCCGGCACCACCGGTTGAAGAGAGTCATCTCCCATCAAGTGGTCTTGGGTCATAATTCTGTTCCATCGATCTATGTGGCTGTCTTTATGCCAGTACCATACTCTTTAGATGAATTGTTTTTTCAAGATCTTAAAAAGTGTGCAAATACTTCTTGAGCTCTGAATCACGGTCTCTGGCACACAGTGGTGATAGTCCATCATAGTGATCGTCTAATTGCAGAAGGGGAGAATTTTAGAAGAAATTTAGAAGATATTGGAGTGTAGAATTGCTGGGATATGGGACACAAGGGAGGTGGTGTCTGAAGTCCAGGGAGCAAGCAAGGTCCAAGCTGGCATCACTGCTCCCTGTATGATCCCAGGAGATCACACTGCACCATGGGGCAGGGCGCTGCAGGGCCCTGGGGTAACAGCACCCATCCCGGCTCAGGCTCAGGACAGCAGCTGGCCGTGAGTAGGCTGGGGGGTCCCAGCGACTGTTCTGTGTAGGCAGTGGGCCCCCTGGGCACCGACCACTACATGTCCAGTTGGCTGCTGGTATTTGGTGTTCAGAGTGTCTCTGTTTCTCTGGGCCCCTGCCTCTCTCTGCTGTTCAGGGACCCCTTAGGGTCCTCACCTCCTCAGGCCGCGCCTCCCTTCAGAGTGCTTCTTGCAGGTGACCACATGTGTCTGTGCACACAGGGGAGGCCCTCAGATATCTGACTCCTGGCCATCAGACTGACAGCTGTCCTGTCTTGTCCATCCTCTGTCCTGTTGTCACTGCACGTCAGGGCCCAGATCTCGCTTGTTCCGTTGTCACTCAGCCGAGCCTTGGTGGCCTCCCAGTCAGCACCCAGCATGGTCAAGCCTCTTGCCCTCCAGACAGTCCGAGGTCCCTCCTGAGGCTCTGCTGCTTGCCCTGACGCTCTTCCCGGCTACCTTCCCGAAGCTGTTACAGGCCTCCTCACCTTGGCCTCAATCCGGCAGCCTCTCCCTGCTGCCCCACTGCCCTCAGCAGCCTCCACCAGCCCCAAAATGCCAAGTCCAAGTCTGCAGACTTTGGCTTTGAGTGCCATTTGGTGGGTTGACCTCCTCCTTCTTCAAAGACTGTCTTTTCTCAGCCTCATCCTTCTCCTCAGCCCCTCACCCCTCCACCTCTTCCACTCTGCACTCCTCTGCTGGGTGGTCTCCTCATTCGGTGACTTCAGTGACCATGGAGACGGGTAACTGCAAAGTTCGTGTTCAGCTTGCACAAGGTGTCCAAGGACCAGGCACACAGCTAGGCCCTGGGTGGGTGGAGAAGGCAGCCAAGGGCGCCAGGCGGTGGCCAGGACACCGAGGACAGCAAGCACTCTGGCCCTTGTCCACAAAGCAGAGAGCTCGGGGGGCAGTGAGGATGGGTGTCACCGTGTCTTTGACTTGGACCCAGCATGCTCACAACCCAGCTTCTTGGCCCACTTCTCCTTCTCATCACTGTGACTGGTGCCCCCAGCTGCCCATCCGCTGGTTCCCCGGCCCTCTGCCGTGCCCCCCCCGGAACTCCCCATGCACCTGCTAGCTACTGGTCTGCTGCAGGTACTAGTCCCACCTGCGGTCTAGACCTCTAGCCTCCTCGTTTCCCGTCTGCAGGCCACACTGCAGCCCGAAGCGCCTTTTGAACAGGAAGATAAATTCACACCGTCACTCTGCTCAGTGCCTCCTGCATGGCTTCCAGGTGCCCGTCTGGCAAGGGTCAGACGCTGACCTGGGCTAGAGGGCTCTGCAGGCACCTGTGGCCCCCAGGCTCCCCGGATGCCTGCTCACCTCTCTGCAGCGAGGGTGGTCACACTGACCCCCACTCTTGGTGGCCCTGCCTGAATGCTGTCCCCCCAGGACACACACACATGCCCTCAGAGGAGCCTGCCTGACCTGGCCGGTGTGGGGCAGTCCTTGGCTCTCACAGAACAGGCCAGCGTGGCATCCAAGCCCTCCTGGAGCTGACATCCCATTGAGGGAAAGACCAGACAGCCACCTTGTAACAGAGCTCAACCAGGCAGGCGGCAGCCCACGGAGTTGACCACACTTCTTGGAGGCCTCAGGGAGCTGCACTCAGAGTGAGCAGTGCACTTCCTGGCTCCTCACCTGAGCGGACTGGTGCAGGAGCTGATGACCTGAGCGTGGGGCTCTAGAGACCACTGTTAAGCCAATGGGCTGAAGCCGAGGCCTAGGAAGTGACTACAGTGGATTAGCCTGGGTGATGGGACTAGGTCTTCTTTCTAGAAGCTCTCTCTGCCTGTCCCAAGGACAGTGCTCGGAGGAGGGCAGCCAGCAGGGCCCACGCAGAAGAGCCAGTGGCTCAGAGTCAGCAGGTCTTAGGGATAACGTTTTTCCCTGTCAGACATTAGAAGCCTCGCCTCAGCGTGTGTCATGCATGGGCTGTGGATATGCATGGAGTTAATTCTGTTTATGAGCTAGCCCCATCACCCAATGCCAGTGTTCCAAGCTTTGTTGCAGGAGATGGCCAGTCCACTCCTGTCTGGGAGGGAGCGGCACGTGCCCTGTTGTCCTCAGGGTCCTCATGTGTGGCACATGGGATTCAGCATTATAGAAGGTGGAAAGGAGGTGTAACTACTAGACACATGTGTGTATAACTTAACATTTTAAGACAGGTACATGGCCTAGGAAGAGCTGTTTGTCACTGGGGGGTGAAAACTAGGGCTTCTGGGGAATTCTGGGGAGGAGGAGAGGTATGAATAGGGTTTTTAAGGATGAAGACCCAACTTTCACGGTCAGGTGGAAAGAATGGCACATGTTAAAAATGACATCCGGGAAAGCCCTTTCAAGGGAAAAGCTGCCAACTGTGGGAGAGGAGGGAGCCCAGGCCCTCGCTCCCTATTCAAAATCCTGTCTATGTCTGGGCGTCCTGCGTCTTGGAAAACTCTTGCCAACTATTCCTAAGCACCTTATTTTAAAATAAAGCTGCTCTGACTTCTTAGTAAAAATTCCATTCAAGGAGGAGAGGAAATCGTCGGGTGCTTAAGTTGGTGCATCTGCTCTCGTAACTCGTGTGATTAGAAAAGGCTTGGTGGGTTTATGTTTCTAGGGTGAGTTTGGTAGGCTTTTGAGAAGCGCCTACATGCACATACAAACTCCATTCCTTTGGGCAGCCTGGAGGTGTGGGAGGAGTGAGCGGGTTGCACAAAGAATCTTGACAGTCGATGCTTCATTGACCCTCGCCCTGGCATCCCCGCAGGGGACCATGCACACCTGAGCAACCTGGGCAGCAGGACCCCCGACTATGCTGCACATGCTCTCGATGCCCACCCCCATCTGCTTGGGTGTTTGCACAGCTCCTTCTCCCCTTGCAAGCTGGCCACTTGTCCTCAGACAACCCAGGTGTTGTAGTGCAGAGATGAACGCACTAGATTTGGAGCCTGGAGATGAATGCAAGGACGGGGAGGCTAGAAAGAAGAGCATTTTCTGAGGCTTGAGGGACAAGCACTTTTCAGTCATTATCACAGATTGCTGAGGGCTGAGTGGTGCGTCAGCAGAGAAGGTGTCTGCTCTGCAAGATGCCTATGGCTGCTGGACAAATGATCACCAACTTATTACAGTTCCAGAGGTCAGAAGTCTGAAATGGGGCTGAAATCAAGATGTCAGCATGTCTAGGTCTTTCTGGAAGCCCGGTTGAGACTCCATTTACGTCTCTTCCAGCGTCTAGAGGCCTCCTGCGTTTCTTGGTTCACGGCCCCCTCCTCTCCCTTCCGAGCCAGCAGCATGGCTTCTTGCAATCTCTCCGAGGCTCTCACCTCTGCTTTGTCATCTGCTTCTGTGTTGCCTTGTCCTGTCTTATCGAGACCTTGTGTGATTATACAGGGCCCGCTTTGACAGTCCTGGATTTTTACCGTGTCCCATTTCCAAAGTCCTTTTTGCCAAGTAAGGAAGCATATTCAGAGCTTCCAGGGAGTCAGATGTGAACATCTTTGAAGGGTCGTTATCATCCGCCTGTGTATACAGGCATCAGCCTATGTAGTAAATGTTTAGAAGTAAAAAGTTTGAAGGAAGCCGTGAGTAATGAGGCATCTCTGTGAATCCCTTGAAATCCAGCATCCAGAGGTGGGATCTAGCTTCCACTCAGGCCACTTTAAGGAACGATGTTTACGGCCAAGTGGAGGGACTGTCCCTGAGCAAAACTCATATAGATTTTCCAGATTCTAACTGTGCTGTAAACCACGACCGTTTGAGGCATGCATTTGTTTCTGTTTTTATTTTGGAAACAGACTTCCAGCAGGAAAAACAACCTTGCTGCTCCCCTGTCTACAGTGTCCAGCAAAATAAAAGTGCCAGTCCCTCAGCCCATAGTGAAGAAGGAGAAGCGGCAAAATTCCTCCAGGTTTAATGCCAGCAATAACAGAGAGCTTCAAAAACTGCCGTCTCTAAAAGGTAATCTCTATTATTTGTGTTTTAAAAGTCAAAGTGTGCCTGTTTAGGGAGGAGGAGTGTTTGGAGAGTTGGCCCGCTTTTTCCTGCTTCTGCTGTATTTATGTTTCATTCGGGTCCTCCTTGTTGAGGGTTGTTGTTGTTGTTGTTGTTTTTCAATTAAATGCCACTAACTGATTTACGCAACTGATATTTCAGATTCCAGAGCTGTTTGAGATAAAAATGTAATCGAGAATGTGTTCTAGCTCTAACACGCTAGAAAAGACAGGGGAAGACATACGTCTCTTTATGTAACTGAGCTAGCTGGCATTCCCTTCAAGTCAGTCTTCTCTTGCATTTGTCACCTGTGGGCTCTATGATTCAGAAAGGAGCCACTGCAGGAGACAGGTTATAAAAGCTACAGTAGAGCCTCTTCACTTTCCTGGTATTGGAGAAGTGAGGACTGTAACCGTGGTCTTTTGTGGACTCTTTCCCTGTGAGTCATATAGGGATTACACTGCCCAGGGGTTTCCTATTTGAGATTAGTCAGGGAATGGTGCCCTTTGCTTCGAATTTCCCCCCATAATGGCACAGTCACCTCTTTCCGTCCGAGGGTGTTCAGTCCCTAAATGTGCTCCCCTAGGAGATGTTGACGTTGAAGTTCATAAAATCAAGGAAAGTCAAATTTGACCAAAGTCAGCCATGAACCTCTGAAAACCTTTATCTTTACTAAAACATAAGACTAGCATGATAAATAAAACATCAGACATTTTTCATACCTCCAATTCATAACAGCAGGTCTTTTGTGAGACGCATGAACCCAGAGCAGGAAGTGCATCCTCTTTACAGGTGTGTTCCAGCGCCTTCCACACTGCAGGGCAGATAGCAAGGGCTCAGGGCAGAGGTGCCAGACGTGTCGGGGAGGAGGAGGGAAGAAGGAAGGGATGGAGGGAATGAGCAGTTTCTGGATTCACAGATGTACTTCCTGCCCCTCACTTGCTAGGAATCCAGGCTGTCTACTCCCTGCAGCCTGCAGAACATGGATCTGGCTTACATTTTGGTTTAGCTTCCTCATAGATAATATGCACATGAAGTCATTTTGGGGAGGGATGAATAGATGGAGCATAGGATAGTTTGAAGACAGTGAACCTATTCTGTACGATACCAGGATAGTGAGTATGTGGCATTTTGCATTTGCCAAAACCCATAAAATGTATGACACAACACACCCTCCTGTAAACTAAGGTATTTAATTAATAATGATATATCAGTATTGGCTCATCCATTGTAACAAATGCACTCACTGTAATGCAAAATGTTAATATTGGACAACAGGTGGCAGGTAATATGAAAACTGTACTTCACATTTGATTCTTCTGTAAGCCTGAAAGTTAAAGTCCACTACTTTGAAAGAAAGAAAGAAAAAGAGAAAGAGAGAGAGAGAGAAAGGATGGAAGGAAGAAAAGAAAAAAGAAAAGAAGTGCTACTTTTCCCATCCTCTGAGACCCTCCTTTGTTGGATCTTCGAATTTTTCTTCCAGCCCTTAAAAATCCTCCACAACAGCGTTACTGTCATATTCTGTTGGTGATCGTTTGGATTTATCCACTTATTTATCACTTTATTCTTCATTCCTCCTTGCATCTTCGACTTTCCTCCAGGATCACTTTCTTTCTATTGGAATATGTCTTGTAGAACTTTCTCTAATGAAATGAGTCTAGTGGTGGCAGATTATTTATCTAGAAAAGATCTTTATTCTGCCCTCATTCTTGAAAGATGTTCACTGAGGATTGAATTGCAGGTGTAGTTATTTTCTGTGAGAACAAGGAAGATAAGCATTTCATCACCTTTGACTTTGTTACAATTGAGAAACCAAAGTTAGTCTTTGAAGGGACTGTGCTTCTGGCTACTTTTCTGATTCTTGTCTCTAACATTGATTTTTCAGTAGTTCCACTGCTGGGTGTCCAAATGTGGATTTCTTTTCAGTCAGCCTTTTTTGGGATTTGTTGCACATTCATAGATTATTATACTTCCTCAGTGCTGAAAGGTTCCCAGCCATTATGTCTTCTACATTCGTCTTTGGCTTTAATCAAACATGTATTGGACTTTTCCATTTACCGTCTTTCTTTGTAATCCTCACCTGTATTTTTCACTTTTTGTGACTTCCCATGCTATGTTCCCATTGAGAGAGTCTCACATTATCTCTGATGAAGGACCAAGCTTTTTTTTTCTTGATTTTCAACCCTTCATGGACTGATACTTCTATAAAATACCGTGAAAATGAATAACTATACAAATGAAATGTAAAATGCAGCCTTTTTGTATTATTACGGCCAGTAGATATAAAATTGCCTTGCTGAGCTGCTGTCAGAATCTCTGAGCACCATGCTTAATTTCTGTTACCTTGCTGGGAATCTTCAGGTCTGCCTAGCATGTGCTGAAGTCCCCTTTGTTGAGCTTTTTCATCTCATATCCTTTTCCATTTATTGCAGTTACATTTTTAATCTGCAGTATGACTTTCTCATGTTTTCCTGTTCTGTCGCAGATCACGCTTGCCATTTCTGGGGGTGCAGTAAGCACAGCTACTTCGAGTTCTGTGTCACATGGTATTATCATCCTTATCACAGTGTGCTTGTGTTGTCTTATTTCCTTGAGTACCTGACTATTTTCTAGTATATGCTGGTCATTGTACTCAACTATTTAAAATAAGTTAAAATCTAAAATGAAAGTATCTTCTTCAATAGGGATTTGTTTTTGCTCCTTCTACCAGATACCTGGTTCGCTAGCAGTCTGGGAATGTTGTAAGTCGCAGCACTAGTTTATTATGACTTGTTAAATTAGTCAGGCCGGTTGTCATGTAAAATATCCCGCTTATTCCCTGCAGTTCCTGTAAATAGAAGTCTTTTTTGGATGGAATACATCAGACGTGTTACTGTATAACCCGGGAGATGTTGGTGGTAGTGCAGGATAATTGTTCGATCTGGTGACTGTCATAAGTGATGCCAGATTCTACACCGTGTTAGGGTAATGATAGGTTGATCTCTCCATCAGACCACGATGCTTCCCCCTGTGACTAGGCTGTCCCGAAGTACTGATGGCGATCTGCAAGGTCTGTTCCCCACCAGCCGTGTGCTAATGCCATGTATACCATGAGACAGTCCTTGCTTGAGTCAGCAGTGTCACTAGAGAGTTAACATTTAATCTGGCATTCTTCTGAAAGCAGAGCTGTTTCTTACCAACTGGAGATACTTGGTTATCTTGACATACAGTTCCTACGGAAAGTCAGAACAGGTGTAATGCTCTGCATTCGAGTTAGACTTTCCCTCAACTGGTGAAAACTAGAGATTTTTTTCTGGTTTTCTTTTTTTTGAATATCATTATGGACTTAGGTATTTCATTGATTTCAGTGTGCTTCAGCCAACTAAAATTACTGTTTTTCTGATGTGTGGCTGCATAACTTCAACCATTGGGTATTCTTGAGGCTCTCTTCTGTGTATTTTTTGACACGGACACATTTATTTTTGATTCCTTGATTTCTAACACAGTAAGATGTCCCCCAGCCTCATTTTGTACCTTCCTTGCCCCAGACTTGGAACCAGCTATTTTCAACAAGCCCTGATTCCTTTCAGTGGGACCTGATTTTAGAGACCAAAATCTGGGTACTAAGGGTGCTTGTTGCTATTGGACTGGTGTTGCTTTTAGGTGCTGTCAATGGAGGGAGATGGAATATAAGTATAAATATGTATTAGTTATACATTCATATTGACATTTTCAATTCAGTTTTCATTATGGTGTTTTCAGATGATTCTTGAATTTTCAGTTTTATCTCTTTTACACTGCAAATCTTGCTTTCTGACATCATTGACATAATTATTGCTGTATCCTATTAAAATAATTCACAACAATAATGCTGATATTATTACAAACAGCAGGAACTTTGAATTGGCTCATTTCATTGCAGAAAAAGTGGTTGTGCTTTTATCTGGATCCTATCACATTTTTTAAATGTGCAGGAAGGATTGGCACCTTGAGAATGTTTTCATCCTTTGGCCTAAGAGTGTGCTATGTGAAGGCCACTTTCATTTCTCTTTGGGTGTTTTAAAGTTTCCCTTGTGTGGGTTTTGCACATTGCTTATTAAGTTTTACACCTAGATATTCTGTTATTGTTGCTGTTGTGTCTTCTGAATAGTTAATTATTTTTAGGAAGGCTGTTGATTTCTGTATCTTGCTTTCACCTCCGCTTTCTTACTGAATTATCTTATTCTTTGCAGTAGTTTTTCCATTGATTTCTTTTGATTGTTCCAGGTATCTAATTAGATCTGTGCTTAAAGATGGCCTCACATTTTTGTTCCTAATTCTTGTACCTCTAGTGTCTTCCTCTTGAACTGGCTGAAAACTCCACTAAGGCGTTATAGGTGGTGGTGCAAGCAGGCATGTTTGTCTTGTTTCTGACTTTAATGGAAGTAGAAGCAGGATTTTTTTTTTTTTAACGATTGTGTTATTCCATTGTGTGGTGAAACCTTGGTTTTAAGTCTGTATAGATTGTGGCATAACGTAAACCTTTCATTGTTGTTCACATCTTTAAACCTTTTCTTAAGGTGGGCTCAGAAAGGAAGTACTGGATCAGAGCCTGTGTGTTTTCACAATCCCTGAGAGATACTGCCCAGATACTGTCCAGAGAGGTGGCACTGTACACACTCTACCCAGAGCAGATGAGACACCAGTCCTGTCACACCTTTTCCAGACCGGGGTCATTTAACACCTGAGTCATTTGTTAAGTGGAAAGTAGCATTTCCTATTTTACTCATTTAACAGTAAGGCTGAATGTAGTCTTCGGCCTTTTGCATTTAGAGAGCCTCCTGAGTTAGTCCCTTCCTCATGGTAGAAGCAGATGCTAATTGAAGGGTGATGCTTTGGGTGATGTGTAGGAGGGGTAAATCAGTTGCCCAGTTTGTTTCTTGGGGCCATTCTCCTGATGGAAAAGAGCCTGGGAGGAGTCAGGTCGTAAAGGAACAACTAGGACTTAA